AGAGCACGAGAGGGAAGAGGGTTAGAGGGAGAAGCAGACTCCCTGCTGAGCAGGGAGCCCGATGTGGGACTCGATCCCCGGACTCCAGGATCATGACCTGAGCAGAAGGCAGTCGCTTAACCAACTGAGCCACCCAGGCGCCCAAAGCAGATTCTATAAGATCTATATGACCAATCATTATTCTTGCTGAGCTTATGTAAATGATTAGGCCATGTTTGTTAAAACTGGACTTGTTTTTCAAATAAATTATTCCTGATTTGGCTATCTCTGATTAAAAATGAGGGTTATTTTAGAAAGAAAAATTGTGTTTCAATAATACACCTTTGTGGATGTTAAATTCTGTATCTGATTGTCTTTAAACGTTCTTTACCTAAGCTAGACAACTTGAGGTAGACTTCAGAGAAATTACCGCAGTAGCTCATGTATAGACAACCTTCTTTCTTGTTATTCTGTGGGGATAATAACAGGACCCCATGGACATATTATTATTTGAACAATGGAAAATAGGAGTGATTCCCCAACAACTGTATAACTCAACTAGCACCTTGACCAATTCTATGTGGCTGGGATGGTGAAATCTCTCCTTAAAAGCCAGAGCATACCCCACTCCATAGGGTTAATTATGGGCTTGTAGAGATAATGGATGACCCCACTTTCTTTATGATTATGTTGGATGATGCCTTTGGGGATGCCCTTATCTCTTGAGACAAGTCTTCTCCCACTTGCCAGTGATTCCTTATAATTGGGATATTGTTAAGGCTGGACCTTAAACAAAAAGGGCTTCTTGATGGGTTTAACCCTCATAGTCATATTTATCCTAGAAGCCACCTCTATTGAGGTACAATTGCAAACAAAGGCTTTAGCTAAGCATACAACAGCCCTCCCAGTAAAAGCCTCAAAACTCACTATGGGACAGTCCCTACTGTAATGACTTCACATCAGGTCCAGTGTGTCTTAGAAACCAAAGGCCACCAATGGATGATGGGAGGTTGACTTATTAAATATCAGGCTACACTTATAAATATGTCTGGAATAATACTTGAAACCTGTCAGACTTTAAACCCAGCTACCCTTATGCCTGGACCCGGTCATTGTACTTCTATAGAGCATAATTGTTCAGAGGTTATTGATCTTGTTGATGCCAGTCAACCAGATTTAAAAGGTGCCCCTGTTGAAAATACAGATGAGAAGAGTTGGTTTACTGATGACAATAGTTTCATGGAAAAGGGAATCAGAAAAGCTGGGTGAAAAAAAAAGAAAAAGAAAAGCTGGGTATGCTATAGTGCTCTCTTGTGCTTTGCAATTGCCAAAGCCTTAAAAATTAATATTTATACTGACTCCAAATATGCTTCCCTAGCCCTGCATGTCCATGAAGCAATTTGGAAGAAAAGGGGTTTATTATCAAGCCATAACTCCCCAATCACACATGGGACTGAAATTAATTACTTTTCTTATGGCTGTACACCTACCCAAGGAGGTAGCTATAATTCACCTCAAAGGACATCAAAGGATATGACCTTAGAATCTAAAGGAAACAATTTGGCAAACTGTGCAGCCAAGCAGGCAGCACAAAATAAACAAATATTAAGTCTTTTACCAGTGTGAACTCCAATAAAGTCCATAAGTCCAGTCTATTCAGACGAAGAAATGCACAGGACTATCTTGTTAATAATGAAGGGAAAAATCTTTATACCCAAAAATAACCAATGGAAGGTAATATAGTATACACACTAGGGTACTGATTTGGGTAAAAAGTCCACGGAGGTGACAAAAACGTTGCTAAGAAAAACTGTCCCCAGACTTGGACTCCCTTGGTCCCTACAGAGTGACAACAGACTCTCTTTTATTACACAAATTTAAAAGATGGCCCTCCAAAACCGAATAGCCTTTGATATCTTCACTGCAGTTAAAGGAGGCCCAGAATTAGATGACTGTCTCCTAACCGGACCCAATGGCTATATGGCTCTAACTTGTGTCCATGGCTTCCCCCAGGCTGGATAAGCCACTGTACTCTAGGTTTTGCCTGGATGCATGGATGTATTATTAAAACCGTTATCAAGGGCGCCTGGGTGGCTCAGTTGGTTGGGCAACTGCCTTCGGCTCAGGTCATGATCCTGGAGTCCCGGGATCGAGTCCCGCATCGGGCTCCCTGCTCGGCAGGGAGTCTGCTTCTCCCTCTGACCCTCTTCCCTCTCGTGCTCTCTATCTCTCATTCTCTCTCTCAAATAAATAAATAAAATCTTTAAAAAAAAATAAAAAAAAAATAAAACCGTTATCAACCTGGTCAACCTTCCAAATGTAAAATGATGGTGGACATGTTCTGTGTCTCATTGGTATGAACACCTAACATCCATTTTTGTTCCCCCTTTGGAACTGGACGATGTTTTTTTCTTTTTAAGATTTTATTTATTTGACCCCGGGGTGGTGGTGGAGGGAGAGCAAAGAGGGAGAGGGAGAAGTACACTCTTCGATGAGCAGGGAGCCTGACATAGGGCTCAATCCCAGGACCCTGGGATCATGACCTGAGCCAAAGGCAGACACGCGGAACAACTGAGCCACCCCCAGGCGCCCCTACATACATGTTCTTTAATTAATTAATTTAAAGATTTTATTTATTTATTTGACAGAGAGAGACACAGCGAGAGAGGGAACACAAGCAGGGGGAGTGGGAGAGGGAGAAGCAGGCCTCCCCCGAGGAGGGAGCCTGATGCGGGGCTCCACGCAGGGCTGGATCCCAGGACCCTGGGATCATGACCGGAGCCAAAAGCAGACACTTAACGACTGAGCCACCCAGGCGCCCCTATTTATTTATTTTAAACAATTTTTTAAAAAGACTTTATGTATTTGACAGAGACACAGCGAGAGAGGGAACACAAGCAGAGGGAGTGGGAGAGGGAGAAGCAGCCTTCCCGCTAAGCGGGGAGCCCCATGCGGGTCTCGATCCAAGGACGCTGGAATCATGACCTGAGCCAAAGGCAGATGCTTAACGACTGACCCACCCAGGTGCCCCAGGGGTGAACACTTTAACGTGACAATGGCAAGGCCTCCAGTATACTGTGACTCTTCTTTAACATATGAAAGTTCTTTTGAAACCTCCCTTTTTCCTTACCCTCCCCATAGTATGTAATCAGCCACACCTCAC